GATTGGTGGCAGGGACAGTGGTGGCGCTGCGCTGGCCGAGGCAGGCGGGCAGCGCAGGGCAGCGCAGGGCAGGCGCAGCTGCACGGGCGGCAGCGTCCCCAGCCGGGCGCCCCCCCGCGCCGCACCTGCTCGCTGGGCATGCTCCTGCGGCGCACGCAAAACACGCGCGATGCGCGCATGCGGGTGTGTTACGCGGCTGTGTGGCTCGCTGAGGCACGCAGGCGCCTGCGCCTTGGCCGCCGGCAGAATGTGCTTGCAGCAGTCGCAGCGCTGGCAGCGCACCTCCCCACCCCCACCCCCACCCCCCACCCTCCACCACCACCACCACCTCCGACCGCCTCACCAGGGCCAGAAGCCGTCGCCCTTGCCCGCCACCACCTTTGGCTCTCCAAAGTAGCAGGCGATGCAGGCGGTGGAGGCGGGGAAGTGTGCAAAGGAGTACTCGGGGCAGGGGTCGCAGGCGGTCCTGCCCGGCTCGTCGGCGTAGTATCCCACGGCGCAGGGCTGGGGCTGGGCGGTACCGCCGGGGCAGCGGTACCCCACGGGGCACACCTTGCAGACCTGGCCCGCGATGAAGCGGCCTGGGATGCAGGTCGGGGTGCCCAGCGGTGCGGCAGGCGGCGGGCTGGGTGGTGGGGAGGGGCTGGGCGGCGGCGGCGATGGCAGCGGGGAGAGGCTGGGCGGCGCGGGGCTGGGAGGCGGTGACGGGGAGGGTGGCGGCGGCGAAGGCGAGGGCGGGGGTGGCGGCGAGGGCGGTGGCAGGCTGGGAGGCGGCGCGGGGCTTGGCGGCGGTGACTTGGGTCCTCCCACAAACGTGGGGTAGCAGGAGAGGGCGGTGGAGGGGCAGGCCACTCCCGGCGGCAGCGGGGGCGCGCTGCTGAGGTACGGCGCCGCCACTATCCTGCGGGCAGAGCCGGGGGCCTCCCACTCCAGCTCCACCCCTCCAGAGGCGTCGTGCTGGAAACACTCCAGTACCAGCGGGTGCCACCCAGCTTCCAGCGGTACCTTCCCGCTGCGCTGCTGCAGCTTGTGCACGCCGCCGTTGGAAACCGCCAGGGCGCCGCCCAGGAACAGGCGGCTTCCGTCGGAGGAGGACAGGAAGAAAGTGTAGGTGGCGGTGGCGGGGGCCAGCAGGTAGCCCGAAAACTTGGCCCAGGTGTCGCTGACGTGGCGGCCGAAGCAGCGCGGCAGTGGCCAGCAGGCCAGCTGCGGGGGCCAGCGGGGAGGGAGCAGGGAGGGAGCGGGGGCAGGAGGGAGGGTGGGGAAGGAGCGAGGGGTGGCATGCCGCAGGGGCCGGCTGCCGCAAGCTGCCGCTGGGAGCAGCAGGGAGCAGCAGGGAGGGGCAGGCAGCAGCAGGCAGTGAGGACCATCACAAGGGACAGCACCCACAGGCCAGCACCAGGCAGCCTGGGCTCACGTAGGTCTGGATCTTGTAGGTGACGAGGTGCGGCGCCAGCCTGGCATAGTCGGGTGGAAAGTCGGTCGCCTCCTCCCCTTCTTTCCTCCACGCCCACATCTCCAGCCCCTCTGCCAGGTTCAGCTTGGCCCCCTTGGGCGCCGCCCCAGCCGCCTCCGGGGCGGCCAGGTGGGCGGCGCCCACGGGCGCCTTGCCCACCCCTTTCTCGCTGCGGCTCCAGCTCAGCTGCAGCACCACGTCGTCGTCCACGTTGTAATAGGCAATACACAGTGTTACAGTCACCCCGCTATGATAGGCCGCGTGAGCAGACCTTGGGCAGGGGGCACACGTGATCAAGGGGCATCAAGAGAGGGGGTGGACCATGGAGCACCCTCTCCATGGCTCCGACCACCCTCCCCCCAGCTGAGCGTCCCAGCGTCACCCCACCCTGGCCCCGCTCCCCGTCCTGCCGGACACGCAACCCCCACAACGTGGTGGGGGACGTGGGGATCCTTAGCAGCTTAGGCCTGCCAGGCCGACGGGTGCCGATGCTGGTGCGGGCTCCCGGCGGCAGGCAGCGCCGCCACCGGGCACTCAAATGGCATGGGGCACATGGGCCCCCCATGCCCGCACATCTCCCAGGCACATGAAAATACCAGAAGGCTGCACATGTAAGGGTGCATGCATTGCAGGCAGGAGTGCAAAGTGGCCTGCCGCGGTGGTCGGCTGTGCCATTACTCAGTCAGCCGCCGCTACCGTGCCGGGCTTGGCGTTCCCATGCCAACATGCCGGCGTGCCATCGCGCAAGGGGCCGGTGAGTGTGTGAGGTGGAGGTGGGGGTGGTGGGGCTGCCGCTGACCGCTGCTTGCTGACGCTGACGCTGCTCTTACCTGCGGGGGGAGGGGGGGGGGGGGTCCG